TAGATTTAGATTTAGGTTTTAAAGATAAATTCTGGAATGACCTAGAAGACTTAATACAAATGATACCTCATAAAGAAAGAATTTTTATTGGAAGTGATTTGAATGAATATGTCAGTAAAGTGGTAGAGGATTTTAGAAATATTCATAGTAGCTACGGTTTTAAAGCGATTCATGAAAAAAATAGGGTCGTGTGAAATTTTGTTATTGCTAATACTTTATTCAAAAAACGTGATGGGTATATTATTACTTATAAGAATGGATCCAATACAACATAAATTGATTATTTTCTTATAAGAAGAAGAGATCATGAGAATGTAAAAATTGCAAGGTCATTCTAAATGAGGATACAAGTACTCAACATCAATTATTAGTTCAAGATTTTAAATTAAAGAGTTGTAAAATAAATTATATTAGGAATCATTGTCATAAAATTAATGGGGGCACCTAAAAGACAGCTAAAATTATTTTTATGAATAAACTTTAAGATTTCAAGATTTGGGTTGTTCATGAAGAAGCAAATTTTATGTAGGACAAAGTAGCAAATACTATTAAACAAGTGACAAAATATGTATTTAAAGAATCAAAAGATAAAAATAATTTATGGTGAAATAATAATGTGCAAGAAAAGATAAAATATAAGAAGTTATGTTATAAAAATTGGTTTAAATGTAAAAACTTAGATAACTGAGAACAATATAAAATGACCCGTAGGCAATCTTAGAGAACAATCTGTGATTCTAAAAATTATGTTTTTAGTGATCTTTATAATATATTAGATATTAGAAATGGTGAATAATATAAGGATAAACTAATCAAACAAAGAGAATAGAAAAGTAAAGATTCAACTCAAGTAAGGTATATTAAAGATGAAAATCAAAAAGTGTTTTTCTTAAAAAAAAGATATTCAACATAGGTGGGTGAGTTATTTTGATAAACCTTTTTTAATGAAGTTTCTGAAAATACGACCGACCTTAGTGATCTTAATATTGTTAATAATAATAATTTTTTTTTTATTGTCGCATTAGTAAAAAAGAAGTTGCGGAGGCTTTAAAGAAAATCAATGATGGAAAGTTTGTAAGATATGATGATATCCCAATTGAAGTGTGGAAATATATAAGAGATTTGGGAGTTTTTTGGCCTACTCTCTTTAATATTATTTTAAAAACTAAAAAGATGTCTGAGGAGTGCAGGAAGAGTATTTTGGTCACCTTTTTTATGAATAAAGGGGATGCACAAGAGTGTGTTAATTATAGAGGAATTAAGTTGATGTGTCATCCAATTAACAAATTGTGGCTAGATACACTGGAGGATTGAAAGAATCCATAGGGGATAAATTGAAAATGCAAACCATGTGGTCTCTCTTTCAATTGTGAACCATGCTTATAAGGTGGAATTACAATTTAATAGAGCATCAAGGTAGTGCCCGCCCATAAAATTGCTAATGAGTCACCAAAATACACTTCAAAGGGTTCAGTACAAAACTTTTCTCAATCTCCAACTTCAACCCAAGCATGTTCTTCATAAGTGGCAAGTGGAGATTATAAAGCAACTAACAAAACCGTCATCCAATGTGATAATGTATATCACTGTCCTGAACCACAAAATATTTTTGTGTTTTCAGCCCGGGCATCGGTATAATGAATGTCTCAATTGAAGACAAGTTCAATTAGTTGAAGGGGGACTAAAACCATAAGCTTAAAACAGTGAAGTATATCCATTTGACGGGGTTGAAATTGAGGAGATAGCTACTGATGAAGGGGAAATATCAAATTGCATCTTAGAGAAGATGATAATCACTCCAAAACAATCACCAACATCAGAGGGTAATTGAACATAAGTTAAGACGTATTATAATGATTTCTTGTAATCAATTTGCATTATGATGAGCACGTCTACTATAGTACTTATACATTTATTGAGAGGTTTGATGAAGAAGTTCAGAAAAAATAAGGACGATCTACATATAATTTTTATTGATTTAGAAAAAGCTTACGATGAGATTCCAAGAAATATCTTTTGGAGAGTTCTAGAGAAGAAAGGTGTTGATATGACTTATATTCCAGTCATTAAAGATATACATATTAGAGTTGCTACTTGTGTTCGAACAAAAAGAGGATTGACCAAATATTTTCTTATTATAGTTGGATTACATCAGAGATTGGCTTTAAGCCCATATCCTTTTGCTTTAGTTATGGATGCTCACTGGACATTTACAAGAGGATGTACCTCTTGGTGTATGCTTTTCGTTGATGATATCCTACTCGTGGAAAAGACTAGAGAGAAAGCTCAAAAAAACCTTGAAATATGGAAGTCTACATTGGAGTCTAAAGGCATTTGTTTGAGTGGAACAAAAACTGAATAAATGGAATGTAATTTTAGTAGTAGTGCTTCTAGTGACAAAGCTATAAATATGAGTGATCAAATTATTAAAAGATGTGAATGTTTTAGATATCTCGGGTCTATTATTCAAAGTGATGGTGATATATATGGGGATGTTATTAGTAGAATTCAAGTTGGTTAGTTGAAGTGGAGGAATGTCTCGAGTCTATTGTGTGTAGAAAAGTACCACTTAGATTGAAAGGAAAATTTTATAAGATGGTTTGTGAGACTTGCAATGCTCTATGGCATTGAATGTTGCCTTTAAAAGAGAAGTTAAGTGTTGTCGAGCTAAGAATGATTAGGTGGATGAGTGGCTTTACACTTAGAGACAAAATGTGAAATAAATATATCCGTGATAGGATTGGTGTAGCTCCAGTGGCAGAAAAAAATAGATAGAGTCGTCTTAGATAGCTTGGTCACATTAAACGTCAAACATCTGATGATCTGATTAGAAGAGTAGATGTTTTAGATTCAACTTATGTTAAGAAAGGCAGAGGTAGACCTAGAAAGACTTGGGCATATTGTATAAAAAATGATCTTAATTTATTATAACTAAATGAAAATATAACGCTTAACAGAACTTAATGGAGCAAAAGGATTCATGTAGTCGATCCCACTTAGTGGGCTAAAGATTTGTTGTTGTTGTTGTTGTTGTTGTGCTGCTACAATATGCATTCTCAATATGACAATATTCAAGCGCTCCTAAGGAACGCAGATTAAAAAATAGCAATATATACAAATCAATTGAAAATGAAATCATAGTCAATAATAAAATGCAACTTTACATAGAAAATTATATTAATCAGGTTCTATTAAAAAGTAGCAACATATAAAAAATAATTAAGAACGAAATCATAGAGTCAATAACCATAGAGTACATTACAACCCTCTCTACAATATCTTTTACATAAAAAATATATTATAGTGAACTCCAAAAGATCTTCACAAAAAGAGTAAATTGTAGTGATTTCGTAAGGATCATTTACATGACGAGAATAAAATTGTTAAAACAATAAGACTAGCCAAAATCTTCAGTTGAAAAAAAAAAAATCGCATTGAATCCTTTTTTTTTAATCATCTCATTTGTTGAGGGATCAAGTTCATCTAACCAGTTGAAGTAGCTGCAAGCATCTTCTACTCGATTTTGTGGGTATCTAAAAATCTATCCTTTATTATGTCATCTATAACAAATATAAAAAAAGCACTATAGATTACATCTACAAAACATTTAGCGAGGTACGCCCCTAGTCATTGATGATTAACTAAAGTTTATTTCGGAAATTTTAATATTTGCTTAAAATAAACAGCATAGGACGAGACTTTCTCGAGTAAAACATAATTGAACAGAGTTCATGCACATTAAATAGCTTCAAAAGAAATAATAGTTTCTCTCGTATCAAAGCATTAACTACCTACAAAAGTGATACTGGCCTGTCTGTAAACATCTAATTAATTTCAAACTATTTAATAGACTCTATCACTAATTTATTAACTACAACTTCAATAAAATCAATCTCAAATCACATAACCAATGAATGAAGAATTCATCATCTTTGGCCTTAAACAGGAGGATTTCTCTCCATTTTCTTCTGTTTTTTTTTTGGGCCTAAAACATAAGAGTTTACATAAGATATAAGCGTCGGCATTAAATGACACTAGTGTGTCAGAAAAGAATGAAACTTATTATAAAATTTTAAGAGATTTGTCAGAGCTACAACTTTCAAGCTTAACATGGTATCACAAGCTTGCAGGCGAAATAGTCACTAAGCTTTAATGGGGTGTTACACCCAAGGGTCTCTAATTTTAATATATTGATACAAATAAATTAAAAAATCAACGGAACACAGACCATAAGGATCAAGTGTACAATAATCCTACAACAACAACAACAACAACAACAAAGCCTT